GATAGCATAGCTTGGTAAAGTTAGTGGCCATGCTGGGTGGGGGATATGGGAATTGCAGCTCAAATAAGTCATTTTACAAATTCTGAATTGTAGCACTTGGGTTTTGTTATATAAGGCAACCTTTAAAGAAAAAGCTTCAAAACAAGATGGACTACAACTTCCATCAGCCCTAGCCAGCATGAGTGGTGTTTTGACCCATGATCTCACAGAGTCCTAGTACAACACGACACTGGTTCTCACACTGTGCCAACCCCTGCATTAGAATCAATGTGATAACATGGCTAGAATCTAGAATCAAGGAGATCCAGATTCAAATTCCTGTTTAGCATGAAGCTGCATGAATGATATTGAATGAATCCCAGTCTCTCAATGTAACCTCTCTCACAGATTTGTTGTGAGATAGAGAGCTTTACCACACAAGCCCCATTCTTATAGCAATCGCCATCAGTAGAAAAACAAAAGAAAATGGAACATACCATGTTCAGAGCACCCAAAATTGTACATTCTCAGAATCACGCAAATAGAGCTGCTACTGCTGCATCACACTATCTTCCTGAGTCCCCTTTAACCCTGCCCCCTGCCTTATGCCTTATTTAGCATGTTTTTAGTAAAGGTAATGGTGTTCCCCGTTGACAAGATTGTCAAGTCGTGTCTGACTATAGAGGGCAGTGCTCATCTCTGTTACTAAACCGAAGAGCCATGTTTTTAGTATTTTGGTTTTATTTTTATTTATTCTTCTTTTAACTCACACAGTTTTGGAGCTCTGCTACAGCAATGTAAGTAAAAAATAAAAATAAATGAATAAGGAAGGAAATACAATAAATAAATAAATAAATAAATAAAGGCAACTGGGCTGCTTGGGAATAGTATGAGAGAGGGAAGACAGAAGGAGTGGAGGAGACAGTGACACCAAGGTGCTAATGCAACTGTCTTGGGAATGATGTTTCACCCCTGGAGACTTGTGCTATTGAGAGCTCCTTAGCAGGGTTCCCCCACCAGTGAAAAAGGATGCCCTATTCATGGTTGGGAGATACAGCAACTACAGATTTGAGGCAGTGGCATGCTATAAGTATCACCAAAGCTGCTTTTTAAATCATGGTTTAAAAGTCACGTGTAGTAATCTACAAGTAGAGAAAGACCATATACAGTATACAACTTTGAGGTTCTTGGAGACAGGAAAAGGTACCTTCCAGATATATTGGATCCAATCTTTCATCATCCTCAGGCAACATGTTGTCTAAGAATCATAGGGGTTGTAGTAAACACACCTGCAGAACTCTGGATTGGAAGAGGCCTGTTTAGGCTAACAATAAATCTTCTGTGTCAACATGGCATATAGCAGTACTTCCCCCATTTCTAAACTATTTGCTGCAGGGAAGAGGGAAGCTGGGAAAGGTAAGGGTTTTTCCCAGCCTCTGGTTCTTTCACAGTGTGCACTGTCTTTGTTCATAAAGGCTTTCTGTCCCCTCATAACCTCTTCAAGCCAGTGCTTACTGGCAGGGGATGTTGCATTTGCTGAGGATTAAAAGAAATAAATCATGTGAGCTCTGTACAAATCAAGTGTAGTCCATGTGATAGAGTAGAAAGAGACCTGAGACGAATTTCTGTTTGTTGAACCATTTCATGTAATTCTTTCTTCAGATAAATTCTTGGCAGCTTTCAATGTATCAGTTCTTTGAGGAACCACATGCTTTGCATGAGCCAAGATGTTTATATAGATCAACCAGTGCTATCCTTCACTGGAATTGACAGGCTCTTGCAAGTGGATGCTCCCAGTGAACTAAAGCAACTTCTATCATGATGCCCTACAATGTCATTCCATGTGACAGTGGTGTTCCATTGCATTTCTTTCTTGGTTCATAATTCCCCATGAAAATTTAAACAGTGGAGCCAAACCTGCTTCCATCCAACTCTCCTTGTCTTCATAAATGAAATGTTTGTAAAAAGGCCTTTGAAACATTCGTTTCACTTAGATGGGGATCTTTTTTAAAAGCCTGCTCTTCTGGAGATTTGTATCTGTTCTTACTGGGGGGGGGACTTGCTATTTACAAGCTAAAGATCTTTTGCAACTTTATGGATTATTTTATTCATTTCAAATATATCCCACAACCTGTCTGAAGCTGAGTTCTCTTCATGGGGAATCCTAAATTCTGAATGATATGGAAGTGGATTCAATCCTTTCAGCTAGACATTTGTAAATTTCACAACTAGAAACTTATCCTAGTTTTCTGTATTGTTTATTTGTTTGTTTTAAACTTTGATGGGTGCTAATATTGCTGAGTTGAAATTTGAAAAGTGGTAGGGAGGGGTCTCTAGTTCTCCTGCTCTATAGGATTTATTTTTCCTCACTTAACCACTGAATGTTGGAGCTGAAGCAACACTCCATCCCCAAAGCTTCGAAAAGTTACTTTATTGGTCTACACTTCCAGAATATCTCAGTCAGCATGATGCCAATGAGCTTGCCAGCAGGGGGATTCTGAAAGCTGTAATCCAATAAAATAACTTTTCTGAGCTCGAATCCATCCTTTTCCAGTAGTGTGGAACTCTAGAAAATCGGTCATTCACAATGAGCCTAGGTTTTGCATCCTAGTATGAATCTTTCAAGGAAATTTCTCCTTGGACAGAAATTTGAGAGGTTTTGCACCATTCTTAGTGCCCATTGTACACCATTAACTATCCAACTAAGTTACACAATTTTTAGAAACACTAGGGGATTGCAGTTTAAACCAGTAGGAGTGCTGTTATTTGACTTATGTGAGAGCTGGCTCATTTTTAAAGTGAACATCAAGTGGGAATTAAAGCAAATGCCTCCCATCATGTTGAAAAGATTCAGGATTTTTAAAAGGCATCTCTTGTGAAAGGGGATCAGATAAATTCCTGTTTGCTTGCTTTTTCAAATGCAGCTTTAGAAGTTTGTAATTTCATCATCTCTGCTGCTTAAGGCAACTGCTGATCAAAGTACAGCTTTTGTTACTTATAAATATCTTATTGAGACAGCTGTAGAACTCCTTGAGGGTAGGGTGGGAGTGATCTGTAAGGTGGAAATAATGTGAAAGGTGAGATGTGATGTTTTAATAGCTTTCCGGGGGAACAATTGAATTAGATTAAAATGTATTGCAAATCTAAACAATGGAATTTTTGGCAAACCATGGACTATGACAAGGATTTAAACTTCTTAAGCTCCAAAAACTAGGTTCCCTATACATCATGATAGATCAGGGGCCTGCATGGTGCTCTGGGATCTTTGAGCAATTTGTATTCTGCAGGCCCAGTTTTCCCCCACTTGCAGCAAACAGCTGCTTCCCTAGCAGCTCCAGGCCTATCTGGTTGTACAGTAGTTGGTGGAGGACTCCCAGGTAGGCCCAGTGACGGTGCTGAAAGCACTGAATTGACACAACAACCATTTTAATGTTCCATCAAAAGAGAAAAACAGAGCGAAAGGGATGGATGAAAACTGAATGTGCGCTTGCTAATTACAAAATGTTACTTGACTATTATGGTAAAAAAAAAAATACGTGAGAGTAGGAAATGGAATAGAGTAGGGCACTGAAAGAAGGGATTGAAACACTCTTCAGCATGATACAAGCATTCTTATAGAAAAAGAAACATAAAATGATATCAGATAAAATGCAAAGGAGCAATACACAAAAGGGAGGAGCTGTAATAACTGCTGTAACAATTCCTGTTGATAGTGTTGGTCTTTTTTGTCATACTGTGCACATTAGGAGTCAGGTCTCACCCAAAACTGAACATAAGATGATCTCACGTATCCTCACTATGACTGTTTGTACAGCTGGTTGTCCATGCATGTAGGAAATACGAGTTTTGCGTGTCTGTGTCTGTGTGTCTGTGTCAGTGTGTGTGTTTCACGTTAGTGATAATCTGCTTTTTAAATTGATTTTCCAAACTGGCTTATGATGTCATCATGTCACTGATTTTCTGAAGTGCTGATCAAGAGAAGTTCCAACAAACCCAGAAGCTCCAAAGAAGTTAATATTACTAGTTTTTAGACAACATTCTATCAAATAGAAACTTCAGACCTTCTAACCTCCCTTACCAAAGTTTTTTCAGCTGTAGACAGAATGACAGATAATATGTCTCGGTACTGCAAGCTCTCATTTTGGTTTGGCAGGATGCACTGCTGAATGTGGAGGTCAGCCAGAACTTTCTAGAGTAACTGAGAAAAAGACTGACAAATTAAGCTCTCTGGCCTACATAAAGATACCCATGTCAGATGGGGAATAGCTTTTTAGGCCTTCAAGTCATTGTAGCACAAAGAGGATATTATAAATTCTTCTATCATGCATAATATTGAAATGTAAGCTATAAAAAGCTGCAAAATAGACACAAGAGTTTCTAGGATCATCTCTTCATAGACCAAGTTTACAAGAAACCTACGGTATATACAGAATATATAATTCTCATCTATACAGAAACCTAAGTGCAGATCATCAGTTACTATAGTATTCCTTGTTGCCCTGTTTTTGTCAGTAATTTAGTATGTCATATGGAGCATTACAGAGAATCTCCATAGCTATCAGCAACAAAATCTAGGTCACATAAGAGGCTCTGTTACATTCTTGAGTAGAAGCATCCAAGGGCAGTTCAGGAATTTGGTTAGTGGCATGAACTGTGATCTAAGAAAAGAATGCTGTGGCAGAGAATATTATAGTTGTGAACACCAGAAGTTATGAATGAATTAACTGTTTTACTTAGTGACTTATTAGCTCAAAATTCACAAGATACTTTGTATCACCATGAAAATCAGAAATACACAAAATAAAGTTCAGCTTCAACTTCTGCAGGTTTTACTTTTGCAGATTTGATAATTTGTGAGTTTGTCATCAATAATTAAATGGGAATTCATTTATTTTTAGTTTTGTTTCCTACTGTGGAAAATCACAGATGATGTGTATAGGGTAGTAAATATAAAGAAAACTTGAAAATTTTGTAAGTCATATGTGCATAAAATAACACCAAGTATGGTAACCCTGCTTTGAGCCAGTGTGGCGTAGTGGTTTGAGTGTTGGACTGCAATTCTGGACACCAAGGTTCAAATCTTGGCTTGGCCATGTAAACCTACTGGGTGACCTTGGGCAAGCCATACTCTCTCAGCCTCAGAGGATGACAATGGCAACCCCCCTCTGAAGAAACTTGCCAAGAAAACCCCATGATAGGTTTGCCGTAGTGTAGCCATAAGTCAAAAATTACTTGAAGGCACACAACAACAATAACAATCCCTGCTTCCCCTTCCTTGGAACTTCGCCCCATGTTGATCACCCCACCACAATCGCTTCCTCCTCTCCAGTCACATCTGGGACTACAAGTCATGGCATGTCCTACAACAGCAGGAAAGGGGTCCTTATTCCATAGAGAGAGGAATATAAACTGAGTTAAGGGTTTTTTTGGGGGGGCTAAAGATATTTATGGTTTGTCCACTTTCATGGGGATCCTGCACCCCTACCTCCAGCAAATGTGGATGGCTGACTACACTATGATATGCTTATGTGAGTATACTAGATATAAAGGTAAAGAGAGGACTAATAGAAAAAATTGATCTAGGTATCCAATTACATTTCCAGAATTGTTTTTCAGCATCTTTTTTCCCATCCCAATTTTCCTCATGCTTATATCTATCTTAGAATGAATACTTTAACCTTCTTTAACAAAAACTTGAGAAGGCAACAGATACGTTATGTACAATACAACATTTTGGGTTAACCAAAACTCAGAAGATAATGTTCACCTGGATGTCATGAGGCCTACAAACACCAGCCTTTTGGGGTGTTTCATAGTGAGAATGATATTACTGTGGTATAGTAAGCCCTCTGTCATTCTTAGAACCCCATTAAATATCCAGTTTTGCCTCTCAGACTTGATAGGGATTATGATTTATTGTCTTCTCTGGGAATTAGAGCAACTCTGGACAGTGAATAGACAAACAAGAAAAGCACCCACCATTGGACAGACAGACAGGATGAACTATTTCTCCACTCTTTAAAAGAATTGCATTTAAAGAAAATTGCATATATCACTAATAAAAGTCAAACATCTTGCTTGTACCACCTTTGTCAGATTTCATAGGAAGCTAATTTTAATTTTGGAGCTGAGCTATAAACTTTTTTTTTTTTTTTAAGAAAATCCTTAAGTGAAAACCCTGACTAACTATGTAACTACATGGTATTATGAATGGAGACACTGTAATTATTTCCCACACGATTTTACCAAGACCTGATCATGCTATATAACTTGTATCTCTCCCATTCCACTGCCCTCATCAGTTGATGGCTTGGAGAGCATATTTTATTATGTGGTCTGTTTTGCTTTGTTCATTTTTCTGGTACACATATTTCAATAAGTATTTCTCTGATGGGTGGAGTGCAAACAACTATGATTAACCACAAAATGTTTGTGTAAGCTGTTCATCAAAGTTATATATAGGATCCCACAGAATCTGAGTACTAATTTTACAAAATGACCAATTCTGGGAAAATTTCCTGGTCATATGTTGAGGCCTTTCAATGCAGAACAGCAAGATCTTTCTGTATTTTGAGACTCAGCACAGTTTCATTTAAGTTTCCTGAAATAACTTCTTTTTTTCTGAGAGCAATATGATCCTGAGTTTTTAAATATTCTGCACAACTTTCTAACTGAATGGAAACCTATAGGAAGATATTGACCAATGAAAGTTTTTTTAAAAAAAAAATAGTTTATACTGCATTTACTTGATATGTTTTATAATGAGGCTGGCATCCACATTTGATGGAAGGAATATAAGATTTATAATAATCTCAGGGCAATAATCCTAGTAAACATGATAGAATAACTTTTAAAAACCATTTCATATATGAAGGCCACATCTTAACTTGTTTGCTGTGTTTATCGGTAGAAAAACTAATTCCCACTTAGCTGGAGTTTCATTGAACACACTGGGGCTTCCTTCTGATAAGATTTGTTGTTAACTGCTCTCGAGTCGATCTCAACTCATGGCGAACCTATGGATGAGACATCTCCAAGACCCTCTGTCCTCCACTGCTCTGCTTAATTCCTGCAACCCCTTAATACCCATGACCTCCTTAATAAAGTCCATCCATCTGGTATGTGGCCTTCCTCTCTTCCTACTTCCCTCCACCTTTCCCATCATTATTGTCTTTTCCAATGAGTCCCCGCTTCTCATGATGTGTCCATAGTATGACAGCCTCAGTTTGGTCATCTTGGCTTCCAAGGAGGTTTCTAGCTTGATCTGCTCAAGGACACATTTGTTTGTCTTTTTTGGCTGTCCATTGCATCCTCAGCACTCTTCTCCAGCACCACATTATCTCAAAGGAGTTGATTTTCTTCCTATCATCTTTCTTTACTGTCCAGTTCTCATATCCATACATGGTAATAGGGAATACGATGGCTTGTATGATTCTTACTTTTGTGCTGAGCTGTATATCTTTGCATTTTAGAATCTTTTCTAGTTCTTTCATAGCCACCCTCCTCATTCTTAATCTTCTTCTGATTTCTTGACTGCAGTCCCCATTTCTATCAATGTTCGATCCCAGGTATGTATCCCATTTACTACACATCAAGCAGTGCAAATGTGCAATGCTCAATGGCTCAATGCTATGGAATTCTAAGATTTGTAGTTTTATTAGCTATTTAGTCTTCACTGTCAGAGAATTCTGGTGCCGCAACAAACTACAAATCCCTTGATTCCACAGCCATTACAGTTAAAGCAATGCAGACTGCATTATTTCTGCACTACAGATTCAGCCCTATATTCATTTCAGTAAGTTGAAATGACTTGAAGACACACAGCAACAATGTATATTTAATAATTATTTATGCTGAATTAACTGAGTAAAGAACATGTGATGAAAGAAATTTTAATAGTAGTAGTATATTATGAGACAGTTTGTGGGTCAGTAGCTGATGAGGATCACTATCCAAGAACTTTTATATATGTTGGATCATTGGTCTGATCACTTGAGAAGCTACATTTACGAAGGTACTTTGTGAATCAGTTTGACATGGCATTTTCCAACTGTCATGGTAGAACAATACGCAATGAAGTGTGACCAGTGAATGGCTGAAGACAGGTGTCGTCTAATCGACAAGGGTCAGACAAGTAGTGAATAGTGGAGACGTTATTGAGAGCTTTGCAGCATTCATGAAATATTTGTGTCTTTCTGACTCTGTATTCTTTATGCATGACAAATTTGAGAATGGTTTTCTTTTGGCTGGGATTTCTTTTGAGGTTTCCCACTGGTTATTAATCTATTATCTGCAGATATCATTGCATTGTGTTTTAAAAAATATTTTCAAACATTTCTGTGCCTTTTTTTTCTGCTGCATATCACTTTCAGTGTCTGGTAAATTTGAAGGTGGAATGAAAATGTTCACTAAATGGAAGTCATGGCCCATGTTACACAGAATTTAAAATATTTTTATGGTTTGTTTTTTGTTTCTGTTTTTTAACTGTCAAGTATTGTCAATCAAATAATTAAAATCAGTTTGTTGCTTTTAATTGCCAACAGCAAATTTAGAATTTATTGTTAAGTGCCAATGGTGCTAGATATTTCTGTAACAGTTACTGTTTCATGTTGTTTTGATTTGCTACTTTGAGGTTTAATTTGGAATGATTCTTGCCATTTTTCTAAAAAAATAAGATTTTAAAATTAACAGTTTTTACTAATGATTATTATATCAAATTGATTATATTATACTTTGCCATCATGAATTAATTGCCTTCAAAAATTTAACATTGCCATATTAGTCCTTTCATATTTTCACTGCCCATATTTTATGTTCAGATTCTAGTAGTAATTATTTGCAGGAGCTGTGTGATTTGATATTCTGCTTGCAGTGCAAAACCCTGAAACATCATTTCCTAAAATAAAAAAGATATTGGACCCTTGGGAAGCACACAGGACTTAGGATCAATTATCAAAAATCTAAACTGATGTATCTAAATGCTCCACCTTCAAACCAGGACAAGCTGACAAATGTCTCTGGATTACAACTATGTCCCTCTGGATTAACATATCTAGGCATTCTTATCATAAAAGATTTATCTCAGTTGGTGCCCAGGAACTATAACCCTGTCACTAAATGGATGAAAGTAAAAATAAGGGAGTGGAAACACTTAAACCTCTACATTCTTGGGAGGATTGACATTGTAAAGATGTTTCTTGCCCCACGTTTATTTTTTCTATTCCAGTCTAAACCTATGTGTCCAATTCCCCTCAAATTCAAATTCTGGAAAAAAATTATTAATGACTACAAATTCAACAGAAAAAGATCCATATTCCCTAAACCAGTTATATTTTTCAACAGAAAAAGATCCATATTCCCTAAACCAGTTATATATACTAACATCAGGGAAGGAGGGTTGGCAATCCCAGATGTCAAACTCTATGATCACGCCTTCCAACTAAACCGACTCTCCAAATTTGTCATAGAGCAATATTCCATCAAGTGGGTATCCATGGAACTATCCGGTTATAGTTTGGCTGAACTTAATCTTCTTTTCTCTATAAGGACACGGAGGGTGTTGAAGGAGATTTGAAACCCATTTCTCTAGAATTCCCTCATTTGGAAGCAATGGGTTCACATACTAGCTCTGGATCCTTCCCCTATTTGTCCATTCCTATTACACCCCCATTTTTATGAAGTGGATAAATTAGCTCAATTCAAATGTTGGAAGGAGTGTCACTTATACAGAATTATGGATTTATTTGAACATGGAAAGCTCAAAAAGACAGATGCTCAATGCCTTGGGACACACCAAATCCTCCTGGTTCCAAGTACTGCAAGTGTCTTCCTTTGCAAAAAGCAAATTGATAAAAGACAGTTGCCCCCATCCCTTGACCTTTTATGAACACATTTGTATACCAAAAGGACAAAGATCTACAGGTGGGGCAGCCATTATATATAAAAATC